AGATCAGCGAATATTCCGCAATTCTCCACTATTTGGCATTTCTCGTAACTGTAAACTGCTTTAGACAACAAATCCCATCAATGCTTCTAGTACGGGCGGCTCTGGCCCCATCAAGACTGCATGCACGCCGTGCTTTGAGAATATTTTTAATTTCAAGTTCTCATTCTCCTCTCCATTTTCATCGCTACATCATGGTACATTTGTCTTCATTCAGTCTCACTACAAAGGTTAAACGGTACACTTTTTTTTCTTGGAGCCAATAGTGCAAGGTCTTCGAGAGGTTCATTTATTATGCCCATTGATTTCAGAAATTCTCGCCACGGTAAAAGCCCCTGCACCGGCGAGATGTATTCATCGTTTCATGTAACTAACCTTGAAAGTGAATTTATGTGGTTTATACGCACACCTGCGCGTTTTCTAAGATACAGCGTTAAGCCAGGTCTCCCACTTTTTTACTTTGCTTGAATCGTGCACCACAAAAAAAATAGCTATGCAGAATGTTTGTTGGTTTCAAGCTCAATAACGTTATTCGAACCTTTCGCGCATTCTTAAGTATGCAACTAGTGGTCACACCTTCACTGCCTTTACGGAGGAACCAATGATCGATGGCACGATCTACAAACGATAAAGAAGATTAAAAAAATTCAATTAAGAGTGTTCAGTTAATCCTGATGGTAATGGTAAAACAATGCAATGGGCCACGATGTTTCTGATCTTCCACTTTATTACCTCGTTTAACAAGCCCAAGTATAGTTACGGTCAAACTGTACTTGTTCTGCTATTGTGAACATCAGATTAGTTTGAATGCGTCATGATAATGTTTTGGACAAAGGTGTGGCTATGGAATCATTTATACAAATGATAGTGAAAATGAAATTTCGTTCAAAAGATAACTTGAAAACATTTCCACTGTGAAGATTGTGCCCACCAAATGTTACCTACGATTATCCTTTTCATGATTCCTCACCAAAACCCTGGAAGGTGACAGCGTAGAATCGGGGTTTGTACGCAGTCAACACAACAACAACTTTAGAAATACCATCTGAAGCCGATAACAGGAAGAGTAGTCAGGTGCCAAGTTAATATGACTATTGCACTCGTGCTGTCTCTTTCGTCCCCGCGGTAAATCCATAGCTTTCAAAGAGCCCAAATATTTTGACCTCAGTATGAAATTTCTATGCCTCGCTGGCGAAAAAAATCCTTACTCGATAACTAATATGCGTTCTAGGATTATTATAATACTCAAAGGCATTCATAAGTAGCAGTGACAATAAGTTAGCAATGTACTTATTGCAGGCCCTATAGCTGGCTACCTGTGTCACCGATTTTCTTGCCGTGCCGTCCTGCTTACATGCTCGCCTCTGGCTGGTATAGGAGCCAGCATCTGCTTCCTAGCAAGAAGGCTGGAATTTATTACGATTTCTTTTGGACTTATTCACGGTAAGCTAGCCGTTTTCATACTGATGTATGCCTGCTACTTGATTTCTGAATATTGAGCAGCTAGGGATTGCTTAACACCCAGACAAAATAGTGATACTAATTACCAGCCTATAATCTCACTGGCAATTACATAAAAATAAAGTAGGTGTAATAAATCATCCTACGTCAACATAAAGTTGTATGATATTGCATGTAAGCGGTGCATTCATTTTCAATATGTTGTTTCTTTATTAAATTATGTTACACGGAAGGCAATGATTTTTCAAGTGCGGGGCAGTTTCTGGCAATGACGTGTTCGACGCTGTCATAAGCTGTCCTCACTTGGCGTAATGCAGGCGCAATGCCGTGGAAAAAGAGAAAAAAAATCAACGCATATTCTCAGAATGAATAATGACAAGTGTGGCAAAGCGTCCGTCAGCCCGTCCATGCTTCCGTCCATCCGTTCGTTCTTGCTTCCATCCGTCCGCGCGACCATATGCGCGTCCATCTATGCATCCGTCCGTCTGCCCGTGCGTCGATCTCTCCGTACGTCCAATCCGTCTGTCTGTCCGTTCGTGCGTCCATCCATCCGTACGTCCACGTGTCCATCAATCCGTCTGTCCGTCTGCTAGTCTGTTTGTCCGTCCGCCCTTGCGTCCGTCCATTAATTCATCTAGTGAACACTACAAGTGCAACCATCTCCCATCTCGCACCCCCTGTGGCACATACCCGCTCTATAGCGCGTATGTGCCACCGGGGGCTACCTACTACTTCTACAACATACACTGGAGCATGTACAGACCCACGCCTTAAAGAACTTTGCCCCTGAAAACAAGCCAGAAATAGAAAGAGAGAAAATATAGTTAACAACAGTAAAAAGGTAGAATAAGAAAAGGAGAAAAAAAAAGGACATATAAAAATAAAAGAGGGAACATAAAAGAAATACAAGAAGATCAAGAGAAAGCCGAAGAGAAACACAGGAATTGCAATACTTAGTATTTGTCGGTTTCGACATTCTTGGTGAAGTCACTTTAGATTAATTTGACCGTCATAAATATCTCATCTAATGCTTTCGGTATGCCTCCTGAAATTTGATAAACAACTTTGTGAGTTATTCTCAAACATGATAGGTTTCCGATTAGGATGAAACAAATGCGCTGGTGACGCTTTGAGAATTACGTGTTATTCATAAGTGGAAGAAGGATCGCTTACTTTCATCATCTGCATTAGCAGCAAAAGCCTGACTACGGCCACTACAGGAGACAGCGGCCATGTTTAGCCAATCAACCCGGTCATGTGATTTCTGCTTTATAAATAAAAGGAGTAAGAACCATAATACTCCTAGTTTCAACACGCATTAAAGCTTAATCTGTCTTGATAAGAAATGAAGTAAGAAATATTGTTATGTTTACCTAGATTGAATTCTTTCTTCAACAGCTTCAGTGGCTGGCTGCCTATCGCTAAGCGTTCTTCTCTTCTGAAACTATTGTACATTACTTAAGTTTGAGGCATATCACACGTATTTTTTGCTATCTTCCCCCAATTCAGTGATCGTGATATGAAGTTAGTCCCTTATTTAACCTATCAAGACAATATCAGGAAATTGTAGTTTACTGAGGTACTCTGCGTGAACACCCGTCCATAACCGTTCCTATTTTATGGTTCCGGAAAGCTCCAGTAAGCGCGCTGTGAAAAGCATTGCGATGATTTTCTCCCTCTACCTTGCACCCTATCTTATTAAAATTCACCTGCTTACCCTATACGGAGCTCTGTGGTGGCTATGGAACCTGCACCTCGAGAGCCTTTGGTCATTAGTGATGCACGCGGCAAAAATACGGCACCCACCACGGATCCCTGAAACAGAGAACGCCAGAGGCCCCACAAAATTCAAAAAAACAGTTTATCACTGTTTATTGTGATTCCACATAATTTATTCTACTTGATGTGGGAGCGATTGTGCGCAGTGTCACGACTCGCCACTGATCGTCTGTTATATTTCTTGTAGTAGCATTAAAATGCCAAGTAAACTCAATTGCTTACACCGCAAGTATGGAATATGAAACTCTTTGGAGCCGTAGGAGGCACTCCTCCTTAGGTCGGACATAAGGGCTCAACTAGCGCTTCTGGACCACAACTAGCTAGCCACGCAAGTCGGGAGAGCCTTGCACATGAAGCCCATTCGATCAAACTTTTTAATCCACTTCATTTCCCCGAATAAACGTTTCTATATTTTTTGCAATAATTTTATATATAGTTTGTCAGAGCGTTAATTATTTCCACAGTGCATGCCCGAATCACAGCTGATTATTTGAGCAGATAAATCGGCTTCCGGTAATTTACAAGGGTTGCACTATGACCGAGTAGCTGTTGTTAATGACCGAGTCGCCTGTGCGAGGTCCCGCTTGTTTAATAGGTTTGATTAAATTTTAAAGTGACTAATTGATGAGGCTAGAAGAATCAGAATGGAATTATTGGTGCATGTTTGGTAAAAATTCACAAATTATAAAGGTAGTTTACCACTACCGCCTATCAGAAAAGTGTATAACAGTTGCGTGTTACCGGTATTGCCGATACTTACCTTCGGAGCAGAAATCTGTAGGCTTAGATATGGGGTCCTACTTAAAGGCCAACTCCGGCGATTTTTCGACCACGTCAAGGTAATGGTGTATCTATGTTCCTCAGACACTCTTGTCACGAGCCCAATAGCTGAAATGCTCAGGAAATTTGAATAATTTTCATAGGCAAAAAGGTTCAATACCAAAACGGAAACCCAACCGGGCACACTGTTTGTGTATGACGTACCATTTGGTAATAACCGGAGGCCGTATACTGGTCCCGCCGGTGTGGAGTATGAAAACTGTGAAAGCCAGGCCAATGAAGTGCCGGCCAAGCAGCACAGTGGAAGGAGGAAAGCTCTCGCGTGCCAAAGACCACCACAGCAACCTTGTGGCTAGCACAATAAACGCTGTAGCGGCTAAAGCAGCGATGCCATTGGCTGCGCCACTGTGACGTCATGCCAAACTCGACGTCACACAGATAGTGTTGCCGATTTCTCCCAGTGAGATGAGCTTTTCGAGGCAATCTTTAAATTTTATTTCCAAGCAATCAGCGCATCTCCCAAGTCTGTGTTTTGGCATAAATGACGAAAATTTGCGAAGGAACGTATCCGCGTATTGCATTGAGATCCATTGACCTCGAAAAATTGGCGGAGTTGGCCTTTAAACTGAGTGCAATGCAGGTATCAATAAAAAGAATAATGATACAGGTAGCCTCAAGGAACAAGCTAAAAACATTTTAGTCGAAAGCAAGGAATGCGCAAGGGCAGGGCGTGTAGCGCAATAGGCGATGTGACCGCTGGTCGACAAGATGTCGGACAGATCATATTCCAAGAGGAGGCAAATGCGTGAAGGGGAGAGAGAAAGTTAGGTGGGCAGATGAGATTGAGAAGTTTGCGGTTATAATATGGACAGTACCTGTTCGAATGGCGGAACATAGAATAGTCCTTTGTGAGCAGTATGTGCAGTTAGAACGTTGATGTCTATTATACGAGTATGTTCTATCTTGTGCGTTGCGCTTTTTTATTTTGTAATTGAACAGGCCAGGCAGGCTTAGGTGACTGGCTGTCATAGCGATGTCTGATGTCGACTTCCTACCACAAATGATACTTCGTTGTATTGAGTGATCGTCACACAGGAAATATTTCTGAAGCCAGCGCCTCTAGAAGTTCATGCGCTGATGAGGATACGACCATATGAAGGTACACTGGCTGCGGCAACATTTCCTATTCGACAACCTCTCATCACTGCAATCTCCCATCGTGTTTCGAGTTTTCATGTAGAATGCATATTTACATAATGAAGCAAACAACTGTTAAAGCGAATAGAAAATGCATTTTTTCATGGTTTCAGGGGAGTGTACAAAACTAACATGCTGTTTGGCCTTTGTATTCGAAATGTGACGTTATATATATGATATTTCGCTAATCCCCAACCGTATTCAAATATTGCCGTTATCAAAGCTCCTAAGTAGTAAAAAAATGATAAGGATTACTACGCGGTAAGCTTTGCGTAAGCCATCGTATCAAGGATGATACCCTATAGCTTCTGTTAATTTGTTGCGGTCACATTTATTCGACAAATGTGTCGACCCTGATTTGATTTAGTAGCTGAAGTCACGGATTTAATCTTTTTCTCGTTACACTACTGCTCATGGCAGGATGCAAGAAGTGGTACACGTTCCCCAACATGTTTGTTCTTTCACTTGCAGGTACTGCATTGTGCGGCCTGTACGTCGCTTCCAATGTTTTGCTGGCGGAACACTTTGAGAAGCGAAGAGCGACGGCCAGCAGTTTCGTATTTGCCGCTTTTGGTTTCAACTCTATCTTTCTTACACCACTGATTGAGTTCTTCCGAACAACATACGGAATTAGGGGTGCATTTCTTCTCTACGGAGCTATTCTTCTCAACATTATTCCTGCTGTCATTGTTCTCAGAAGTCCATCATGGCTGACAAAGCCGAAAATTGCAAGAAGGAAGACGCAAGCTGAGGATTACGAAGTTGTTCAAGCCTCTTTTCTGATTGAACCAGTGAACGGAGAGCGTACTGAAGTCCAAGAATCTGAAAGTCAGTTTTCTTGCCCAATTCCGCACTTGGACTGTGAGAAACCAGAAATATTGCCTGTCAAAAACCAGAAAATGCCACCCTATTCTTGTTTGGTTTTGAAGAAGAGGTCACTGAAGCTAAATTATGCTAAAGAATGCATCCTAAATGTTACACTTCCCACAGCGGCGAGACCATTTTTTACGCTGACATTTTTCACCCAAGCTCTCTCTTTCGCAGCCATAATTTTCAGTGCAAACATCTTCACCATAATTACAGCCGACCTCGCCGCAGATCGCGGTATGACTCCTTCAGACGCGGTGTATTTGCTACAAGCTTTCTCGGCAGCAGATATCGCCTTCAGAGCTGTAGCTGGTGTCATGGTTGATTCACACACGTTATCGCATGAATTGGTCATGTTGATTGGATATGTAGCGCATGGTCTCGCATACGAGTGGCTGGTCTGGGTGAATGCATTTCCCCAATTTGTTGTCGCATCCATCTTCATGGGCTCCACGTACGGCTCACGAACGTGTCTACAGGGATCCATATTGGTGAAGGACTTTGGCATCGCCGCACTGCCAGTGGTTATGGGAGGCGTGTTTTTCGCCACCGGCGTGGTTCTCCTTCTCACTCCACTAGTAATCGGTAAGTCTCGTTAGATCTCACAACGTTCCTGCTTAAGGGTTTTCCTTAAGGGGGCTTTGAAGCACTTTATGAAGTCCCCTGGAAATTATTTAACTGGAAGAACTTACTGTCTGACGAATTCAACGCCGCAAAAGTTTTAAGAATCCGTCCAGTGCGAGTGGAGTTACAAATATTGGTCGCATGCTGCAATTGCATTCTCCGTTCTCTCGTCGTGATGAAAGCGCTGGAAGCTAAGCAGGGAGGGATAGCAAGCGCAAAGAAAAACGTCATACGCACCTCGTGACCTTGAGAACTTTTTTTTCTTCAAATGCGCTGCTTTCTCAGTGCGATTACGCACGCACGCGTGAACAAGTCGCGGCCTCCCACGGCGATCTCTGTCACGACCGAGCGTGCCACGTTCAAATCAGCCAATGACTGATAGATGGGCTTTTTACGATTGATTTTTGAGCATCTTTCGTCATTTGTCGAGACAATAGAAAGCAATTTTTAGCTGAATTTGATAATATATGTGAATTCCAGGCTGCGTGTTGCGCTATAATATTTGAATCACGTGTTGACGGGAGCCTCTACTACCGATTGGCAGCGTTTCTGACCATGCTGAAAAAGTGTTGCAGGGCCCCTTTAAAAGCCGCCCAAATGCTGAACCAGAGTGCGTAGTAGGCTGCGAGCTTTCTGTGCAAGCGTCAAGTGATAGACCGAAGCTGAAAACTAGGTGATAGTAAATGCTTTCCCACAAAGTGTGCACAGCCACACTCGTAGCCCACTTTAGGGGGGGAACTGGCGATAGGAATGATAAATTTTGTGAAAAAGCTAAAATTTACCGTTAATTTTTCTGCGGTCTTGAGACCATGTTTTACATCGTGGTCATACATTACACCGAAATAAGTATTAAGTTTTTATAAAAGCCTTTTACTGCCGGAATGTCGTCGAAATCGCTGAGAAATTTAGGCGTTAGAAAAAAATGGGGTAGCCTTAAGCTACAACTTTTAGTTGAACGCGATAGCGATATTCAATTCCTAGAGCGTACTTTGAATTCATACTGTGTGAAATATTTTCCAACTTTTTATGCACCTACTACGAGGCTTAAGCGAGAAGTAGAATGTTAAGCTTTAGTAGTGAGTGACTTCTTTCAAACTGTGAGGTCATTAGGATATTTCCATGTTCTGAAGCCTGATGAAAATATAAGCTTGAACCACGCATTATTACGGCATTATGTAGTGTGTTTTCGTGAAGCTTGTACACAGAACGCGTGTGTTTCTGAAGCATGAAAGTTACTTTTCTGAAATTCCATGCAACAATGGTTACTTTCACTACATTCGCAAGCAGCAGAGCACCCGCTCCTCACGCAAATGACCCGGCTTATATCCTCACTGAAACCTAGAATGCTTTTTTATTTATTTTAGTTGCACACTTCTCAATTTTTTGGTCACGCGAAAATGCTTGATTCTTTTGTCACAACCACCAACGCCGGAATTTCTGCAAAAGGAGCTGTTAAACGCTATAGCGTTAAAATGCAAGTCTGCAGCTTTCCCTTGGCACAGTGCCACAATATTGACATCATCGTAAAGAAAATGGGTTGAGGCTCAAAATACCAACAAAATCTTTTTCTACAATGAAAAGGTAAGCTAGTACTCTTCTGATTCCCACTTTCTTAGCTTCTAGCTGCAATTTTTCGACACCCATTTTCTCAGGTTTAACTTTTTGAGCAGTTACTCTTTGTCATACCTGCGCCTTTTGGCAACAAACTAACATATAGCCATTCAGTTTATGCGCTTAGATGCTGAGACATTGGTGATTGTTGCAAGGCTGTCCACATCTGTGCGTATACCCTATACAAAGTTTAATAATTGTTTTTTTCATAATTGCTACTAAGAAAATGAGCCAGCACAATTGAAAAAAGTTAGTGTGCTTATTTAATATTAAAAATAACGAATACCATCCCGGCATAGAATAGACCCCTTGTGAATATTCTTATGCAAAAGTTTTAACATAGTTTTGTCTAATTTATCCATTATCTTTGGAAAGAAATTGAGAATCTATCAAGAGTTGTAACTTGGAAACTGCATTAAATAGATCCAAACATATTTCAGTTATGCTATCAGTACAGCAAATGACATCTGCATGCTTAATTTTTTCACTTTATTCTTGTTATAATAAATTATTTTCACAGCCGCGCACTCCCTTATGAAGGACTTAAGCCCATATACATGCCCTTTAGACAAGGAGGCTGCGTAAGGAGGCGAATGGTTTAGGGAGTATTTCATGTTTCAAAGGTAACTTTTGTGGTAGGCAATCAAAGAAAAAAATGAGATTGGCCGCGTACCAGCATGATTCACTGCAAATGTCATCAAAGAACAAAAGTTTTCCGTGTGCAGGGAGTGAATAAAACGTTTATTTGATGTTCTGCGCAAGAAAATCGGGAAATAAAATTCCGGAGGCGCGGCGTGAGACACGAGCGCCAAGTGAAAAAAATCTTGGAAAATAAAGGGAGCTGTACATGGTCTCTGATGTAACGAGCGCGCGATGTGTGCGCACCATGTAAGAGGTCATAATTTGCAGAATGCAAAGCTACGGGTAGGTGGCAGCACCATAGCGTCTTAGCAAAGCGTAGGAAACACCAAGGAGGATTAAAGTTTTTTTTTTAATCCTTCGTGGGAAACACCCGCCTTTTCGTGATTAGTGTCGCATTGTCAGCGCAGCGTTATAAACGCTCGGTCTTTGAAATTACTCATATATGCCGTTTTTGTTTTAAAAAAACAGACTACACAATATTCGCGTGTTCATATTGCACATCAGATATCCGTAAGATTTTCGTTTTAAGCGACAATGTGCACAAGTACGAACGAGGACACCAGGTCAAGATTGGTGGGCTTTGAGAAAGTGGTTGAACTTTGGGGATTAGGCGAATTGTTTTGGTCTATAACACAGACAGATCGAAAGACAGACAGACAGACCGAAAATTTTGCTATCAAGTATCCCCAAAAGACTGTCATCTTTAAATAATTTTGTTTAAAAATACAACCCCACTAACGTGATAAGCCGAAAATACGGTTCTCCCTAAATGCGTCACTGTGGTCTGCAGACGGCGCCGCTAGAGTGTACTAGAACACTGTAGCCCAGCTGGACGCATTTTGTGGGCATGTGCTGCTTACTCCCGCCGTCTTAGCAACTTGGCTGCGTGAAGATATATATACGCACACCTGTACGCACTATGCTCGGTGACAACCATTCTTGGCACTGAAGGGCAAGTTATGAGGGCAGAGCTTGTGCACATGTGCACATGTACTATGCGAAGTACATAGTCTGATGTGGCGCCCGTCTCGTAACGCCGTGGAAAATGACGGGGGAGCACCATTCATGTTTAGTATAGAAGCAGACGTTACCTTGCGTTCTATGTACACGTAAGAAGGTGGGACTTTCGAGAGTTCTAGTTTGACGTTTTTAGAGCCCGCTCCACTCCGAGTTGGTTCTCGAAGCTGCAGCAGTGAGGTAGCGATTTTGCCGTTTTAGGTATGCTTTTTCCGTTCCGGAGTGGTACTTTCACAGTTACAGCGCCCTCTGGTCAAGTTAAACCTCGCTAAATTACAAACCGTTTTTACAAAGTAGTGCCACTTTTACAAAGTAAAACAAGATTACCTTCAGCGCATTTGTTGACTATCCTTTGTCACTTGGAAATACCGTTATCACGTGTACAACTTCCTCACCTGTATATATCATCAACGTGTGTGAGCCTGAGCTCGACTAGAATAAAGCCGTGCCTCAAAATCTATACCTCAATTGTGGAAGAATCATTCAGACTTGTTCTTGCGATGCGTTACCAGCTCATTTCATGGAAAAAAAAAACTGGAGTGTCGACTTGAAGATATATCCGTGCGATAATCATAGAAGTCGCCTTACACAGCACGAGAGAGGGCGCTCGCTGCGTCTTTCTTCTAACAAAATTCTAAGGGCTTTAGTTTACTATGGCCGTTTCACGTGACGCAAAAAGTAGCAGTTTTCAGTCTGCCAATTTCTTCGCAGAAAAAAAAGAGCAGTTCGCTCCCGCTGCAGTAGTCTGCGGTGGGCTACCACCATGTTGGAAATTTTTTGCTCTGATCAGAGCAGCGGGAGTGATGTCTGTTGGGGACCTATCAAAATAGGGTCGGGCTGGCCAAGCTGTCGACCTTTCGTCGACATGTTTCTTTTGGTAACGGTCACTGTTGCGCATTTTAAAGTGTAGTAAGATAGGGAAGTGTTCTTAAATGACGAAAGACGATTTCGCTTTGTTACTGTTCATGGAAACTTCATATTATCATGACGCACAAATTGTTACGTTATATTTGTAAAATTATATTGCCTGCCATGAACGGTGGCGAGAAACGTTGCTCGCCACTCCAGTCGCAGACCGAAAATCGCGCACCGTTCGCGGTCCATGTGAAACGAAACCACCATTAGGGGCGGTTGCGAACATAGTGAATTGAGCGAACGGGATGATTTTTTTCGCGCCTCCGCTTCGCTAGACCGCTTAGCGCCCATGCGCACTTGCGGTGCCGTTCCGCTTAGCTGATGATTGGAGCGTAAAAACGCCAAACTTAAACTCTCCTTTTTCGCGCGTTGAGAAACGCGAAGTCACAACGAATAAAGTAAAAGGAGTATGAATATATTACTGGTGTGAAGTGCCTCCTGTCACAAATCGCTCCACGTGGAAAACAAAGAAGGAACTTTCATATTTCACGTTGAAGAAACGGGTGCTTTGGCGTGTGTACTCTAACTGGCGGTAGTGTGCACTCTAGTTTACCCTGTAGCCTCCGCTTCAATACCAAAAAACGTTGTTGCTCAGTATGGCGACCAAACACCCCTCTGGGCGGAATCCGTCTATTTTGTACTGAGTTTTTTCATCTTCAGGGAAAAGTTTCACCGCTAATAGCACGCACATCACTATGCCGTGTAGTTACAGTATAGGCAGACTCAAAGACAGTTTTGGAACGAGCTCACATACACGATCTGCATAAAGCACGCCTAACTTAGCCCTCCACTGCCTTCCCAATAGAACAATCTTAGACAGCCCTATGACTGGCAATTTTTAGTCACTGTTGTTCTTTCTTCTTCTATGTTTGTTGTTACACGTGCAGCCTTTTCATCATACTGCCCTCAATTAGCGGCTAAAATTACGCTGGCTTATGCAAATAACTAAAGGTATGAAGCGAGTGATACGCTTAGTTCATGTGCATTTTAAAATATTCGTATTCACGCGGCGTCCAAAGGCTTTCTGAAAATAAAACACTGCAACGAATTAACCGGGCAGCCCATTTCTTGCGGAAGGTGAATGAGTTATCTTTTGAAGACATGTTCTCCTTATGGCTGCTGTAATTTACCAACAAAAAAAACATAAAATATGTTCAACTTCACCAAACACTATCAAACATGTAGGTATCTTTGCTGTCGCTTTTTTTATTCCCAGCATCATACCTAGGGCGGAATAACACATAATCAAGGGATAATTTTGAAAAGTACGTAAGAAAAGGCAAAGAAAATAAGCACTCGACAAAGCCCAGACCAGTGCTCTACGCTGTGAATAGTCATTTTCGCTGCATTCCCACTGTTCATAATATAGCTATTCTATATGTATCTCCCATGCCGTTGCGGCTGGGTCAAATGTTATTGTTCATATCGAACGCCTCACATCACGCAGAAGTTATTGTGCACGCTGCTTATCTTTTCCATTTTTTGTTTTTTTATTATGCAGGATACTTCAGAGACACGTACGGTGACTACACCGGACTACTGCATTGCTTAGCAGTTGTCAATATTTTCTTCGTGAGCATTTGGACATTCAAGCTGATCGCTAAAAGGAGAGCAAAGACGACGATGAACTCTAAGACTGGACAAGATGTGTTCTCAGTGAAGAGTACAAAGCAGAAACCGGCAATATAGTAGGGTAGGCCGTTTCGTGAAAAAAAAAATGAAGTGGCTGGTAAGGGCCAGTTTGATGGGCATATTCGACACTGCTCAAACAAACAGGACTGAAGAAGAGAATACACGGGTACAGACAGGTGGTGCTCAAAATAACGACTATTAGACAGGTTGGTTCGCACTTTTTTCATGCTTACTTGTGCCTTTTTTCGCGTGGCATTTTTGTGTTTGAGCATGGCATTGAAACAAACTGTACACTTGTTAGACTCTTTGCAAACTTAAGACTCTTATTTTTTATATTCCAGCAATTCCGGGGGGGGGGGGGGGACACATGGCTGGACGGGCATGCATATATGATGTTGACATTGTATATTGACATGTTTATGGCTCTTTGCAACAAAGGAAAGAAAAGACCACAATAATAAAACACATGACTGCCCCACCATGGTGGTCTACTGACAGAGGTTTGCGGGCCCGCAGGTGGTGGGATATAATCCCAATGGCGGCTGCTGTATTTTCGATGGAGGTGAAAATGCTGTGGGTGCGTGTGCTCAGATTCGGGTGCGCATTAAAGAACCCGAATTGGTAGACACTTCCGGAGCCCTTCACTACGGCGTCTGTCGTAATCATATAGTGGGCTTAGGATGTTAAACCCCATATATCAATGAAATAACACCACTAAAAGTCTATCACACCCCATGCAGCACATTGTGCAAATGTCGAACAGATAAGAAAATATAAATGCACGTCATATTTTTTCCGACGCAGTGGCTTAAATGAGTTATCTTCACGGTGCCTTCAGAATTCACTCGCGTTTTCTGGATGCTTGTAAAAATATGCCAAAAGATATGTTGCCTAAATGAAAATGTCGCGTTTAATGTCTCCCTTGAAAATAATAATATCGGTACTTTGGTACCAGTAAGTATTCTGTTGTGTTTGTTCATGCAGTATAAATTATATACTTTGCAGTAATTTCAACTGAATTGTCCATGCTTTAGGTTAATCACTTTGCCAACCTAATAATGCATATATATCAAAGTACGGAAAAATACATTGTAGTTATTGTTCACTAATCGTGCTGCTTTGTATTGAGCCTTTTCTATTGTTCCGGCAAAGCACTTTTCACGACGGTTCCAAATTACAAGAGTGCACTCAGGTATTCACCTTATCTGTAAAATATTTTCGTCTTCCTTTGCCCTTTTTTCTGTCACTATCAAATTAGAGATCATAAGTAGTCCACTATAATGCTTTTGTAAACTAGAAGTGATCAATTAAGCTCGGAGAAGTGGTTTGAACTTCTAGCCAGGCATAACACATTTTGATGAAGCAGAACTGAACAACATAAGTGGGGCAGTGTGATGTACAGGCCTAGGAACCTCGTGTAGTAAGTACAAGTTATTCGTCTACCACTATGCAGTCCAGTATAAAAACATATTTTTATACTGAAGCGCTGTGATACACACCGTTCGTCATAATCGTGGCGTTCAAAAGAAACTACGACCACTGGGCCAGCTAGCTCTCACTTCATCTTCTGCTACACTGCTCGATCATGTGTGCCTGGTGCGGTGAACATGTGTTTGCAATCGTTCGACATGGGATAGAAAAAGTGACGGCTGGAAGCACAAATACAGGGAAGTTAGGAAGGAAGTATATGAAAAAAATAAACGAGAAAAATACAGTGATGGAAAAAGAAAGATGCGTAATAGAAAAAGAGAGATATACACAATCAGAAAAAGATGTTATAACAGTAAAAAAGACAGATAAAAGTATATGATGAGCGAAATAAAAAAAGAAACAAAGGAATAAAGGGGAAATATAATACAAAAAGAAGAAAGTAATAGAGAGAGAAAGCCAGAAACAGACTGAACCATAGACACCCAATCGTACGCGTTCGTTACCTAGCCAGTGCTAGTCATCCATGATTTTATCAGGTGAACACGTAGAGCATCAGGGCGTGAATGTGAGATGACCAAGTCGAGCTTTCACAGGCTGAAGAACGACTAGTTATGTGCTTAGGCCTGCAGGACCTAATAAAAAATGCGGAGATTTTCAAGATGAAACCTTACATTTTCCATCAAAGGTGGAATTGCACTATCGGTGTTTCGCAGCTTTGGAGACGAGTGGTGCAAAAAATCATCGTATACCGTGGTGTCTTTCCATTCTGACGACATGATGATGTCGCAGGCTATCGAAATTGGCGATCATCCGCGGCGACACGTTACGTCACATGCTGATGTCATCTTATGACACTGTAAATTCGACAACGATGGTCCACAGAGACTACGCAAAACGAGGCGCGGTGTCTTCAATCTTGGAGGCAATACAAAATCATGCTAGATGAACACAGCTCTTGAACAATCGCGAGGTGGGATAAGAATATCCACTAAAAAAAGAATAAGCAGGCTTTCGCTTTCAAGCCATCTTAACTGAAAGCATAAGAGGCGAGTGAGAATTTTTCTCAGTTTGTGAGCATGTATATGCCGAGTCAACTAGAAGCCAGTCTCTTCATCCAACTGTCCAAGGTCTTTATTTTTTACAACGCAGTGGCCTTATCAGGTCAAATGAGTAGCCTAAGGAGGCGAGGAACTGAAGGAGTTCACGTTATATAAGATGCATTGTTGTGCCATGTCGGCGCCCTCTCCATACTCGTGTATCCAGCACACCCCGGGCATCGCAACACAAGCCCAACAAGCATAGATAACTAGAGGGTGAGGAGCCGCGAAAGCTACTGGAATCCTGTCCTGGGGACTCCTCCTAATGTTCGAGAGAAACGGTCACTTCCAAATCACTGCAACCGTACATCTCAGTGGTAATAGATAAATGAATGTTTTTCACTACCAACAAACTCTTCTTACGCCGAGGCCCACTGGGTTTTCTCATGGGCATAAGCCAGCTTTCATACGCGACAACAAAATTGTTAGCGTAAAGTTATGAGGCAGCTTGGTTGCCACGTGAAAGACAAAAACTTACCATAAAATGAAGTTACCTAAAATCAAAAAGCGATAACACAGGTTACAGATATTCGTGACATCATAGGACGACCTCATTACACGGCCTATAGACCTGTTGAAACGTTAGTTGATAGTGGTCGTAGAATTGTAAGTCCACGTGAGGCACCGAGAGCTGCCATGGCTCTGATCATGGTTGCAGTGCAATGGTATTTTACGTGCTGAAACGTTTCGAGGAACCTTAGACGAAACAATGCAATCGACAAAGGAGAAGAAAACGAAAAAATGGGTTTCGCCTCAAAGTTCCCTCAGACGAATACATATTGAACCGTATGGCTTTCTTTATACAACCTTTGACGAATCGGGGAAAATCAACAGTTTTTGCTGCCGAAGGAGAAGCTCACTCGATATTTTCAGGGTGTTTTTGCCAGTTTTTGCTCAAGATTGAATTACACAATCAGTTCTTCTACGGTAGCTGCTAGACACGCCTACTGATTTCACTGCTACCTCTACTGCTAAATACCCCTTGGTGCCCGTGTACAAGGTGAGTGGTGGTGACTTTAAAAATCCAAATTGCGCACCGCTGAAAAAATGATAGGTTGCCACTACAAAAAAGATTCCAGTATGCACGCTTAAGAAACAACTAAACGTTGATGTACTACATGTGTGCTTCGGAAAATTATTTGTTGTTTCAATATATCCCAAAATAAAACACCTACGCAGTGCGCTGACTTTAAGCATTGGACAGTGTTTTAACTATCTATTTCATTCTGCTTTTTTTTTCGCAACACGGGCAGAAGCTCTTCACAATTTGAAACGTCTCATTTTGAGGTGTGAACAATACAACTGCTCTCACATGTCAAGCTTCATCATTATTGTTATATTATAGGTCAAACTCAATACAAAGGAAAAAAACGCAAAAACGAACGCTTCTGCCTTTGTCTTGAGTTCGCACTGTAACCATATTGTCCGACCAAGTAACCCAAGCCACCGCCCTTCTTGCTTTATATCTGGTTACAAAAGTTATGGTAAAGTTAGTCATATCTGGATTGAAGTTATCAAATAGCCTACATGTCAAACTATAAGAAATATTTATTAGGCATGCTGGTGGTATTCAAGCCTCACGAGGCAATCCATGCTTTTAAAAACGACGCACTCGCACAAAGAAAATTTTTGCTAGAACGAAGCTTGAAGCTTGGTAGAGCAAACCATTTAGTTATTCTTCTGCATTTTCCATACCCAACCACCAGTATGTGACGCAGGCTGCATGGAGCTCGGCGAACTTTGTGATGTACCATATTGTTACAAACCGCAACGAGCAAGCAGGAATGCTTAATTGAGGCGATGAAAACGATGATTCTAATAGCACTCGAGTTGTTGTAGTTTGTGCGCTGCTATCTTGACTGAAGTACTCCCTGCGAACAATGTCAATACATATCTTCTCTCCTTTTTTTCGGATATCATCACTCTCATGAAATTATGTTGGAGGTGTCAGGTACAGATATATTATAACTGAGTTCCACAGCGGCTGACATTTGAAAGAACCCATGATGACTAAAAATAAGTTCAGCTCCTGCAGCGGTGACGTCAACGACGTCACTTGTCTTCCCACAGCTGAAAGACCTAGGCACGTTCTGTTACACAGACATTGTCGACATCGAATAATGAATGGCAATGTACGAACGCACCAGTAAGAGTTATCACTTGGACAACGCACACATGGAAGTGAATGAATATTTCTTCTACCTGAAAAGGGAGAGCCAAAGGGTTGTTCGAGAACCATGAAGCAAAAATGAGCAGCTGGCATGCATGCAAAAAAAAAAAAGCTGTGTGCCTTATTCGACAAATCGACTGGTAGAAAGACAGCAGCCGAGAATAGCTGACCTCTCTTTCTCAGGCATCGATGAAGTCCTACCTGTCTTGTCTACAAACTTGTTCGCCCATTGATGCAAAGCGTTGAACAGCATGGAGGAGTTAATAAAAGAGGCGCATATCTTGAAATGCATAGCGAATGATGCATTGAACCTACTGATACGCAATAAATTTGACACGATAGAAGTCATCATCTCTCATTGCCAGCGATTCGAGACAAGCAAAAGCTACAGTATTTCCCATCAATTCACCCGACTTTCTAACACGGCAGCAACGTGGTCCTGCGAAGGTGCCCTCTACGACAACCGTACTCTTTTCCCTGCTACAAAAGTGCTACCATGACCTCATTCTCGGCATGGTAATTCTATCTGCCGACTCTGTCCTTACCGACAGTGGAACTGTCTTACTTCAGCGCGACTTGCCGTGTTTTCCTGACGCTCTCGCAGCAC